ATGCATTTAACAGATTTTCACTTTTCGACAGGTTTGGCAAAACTGGTATGGTCACTGGCGGTCAACATTGTCAGGTTTCATCGCCATTGACGAAGAGTTGTTTCGGTGGTGTTTGGCTGTGAAGGTAGTATCAAGTGAGTGTGCGGTACAGATGCAGGGTCTTTACTCAAACTCATAGGTTCTTAACAGGGATTGTGGAGAGTTTCTATCTGAACTAACGACAACCAGTTGTGTCCAACAAAGATATCTACTTCAGATTGGCATTCATCATGAACTGACACCAGTTGGAGGAACACTGGAAACCTGTGAGCATTTGACAGCTGTTTCGTCCTAGTACGGGGCTCTTCAGCAGCGCGAACCCATGATCTTTTCCTGGATTGAACCCATTAACTTCAGATTCCGCGGCTAACACGTCGCCATTGGGCCACTCGGTATGAATCCAACGGTCAATACTTCCTGCTTCTGTCAGTTAACGATATAACACGACCTACATCCAATGTAGTGGTTGAGTAACTGTTCTGATAATCCACTTGGTTGGCCCGGTCAAAACTTCTCACTGGAACTTCGGGAATCACCTCTTGAAGCTAGTCACCAATAAGCACTAGATTAATTCAATTTGGAGGTTTGTGAGGATTTATTAATTTCAGGTTGATATTCATCATGGAGTGACATTAGTTACAGGGACACTGGAAACCTGGGAGCAATAGACAGCTGTTTTGTCCCGGCATGGAACTCTTCTGCAGTGCGTACCCGTGATCCCACTGGAGATATCTACTGTTTTCATCTTCATTTAACTTCCAATGTTAGTCTGTTTGCCAGATATTTCACATAACGAAATAGTATTATTTACTGGATGAGGTTTAGAACAGAATTCTTTGTTCACATTCATATCAAGGGTTACTGCACACCCTTCACAGACTATTTTTTCGCCTCCTCCTTGGTTTTTCCTATGAGTAGTAGAACTTTCCAAATGTCTGGTATAGGTGTTGAGCCATTCCAATTGCGTATATTTGGGTGTGACTGTTATCAATGTCCGTCTTTACTCCACTAAATTGGTTTTAATGACTGTCACCCTATCCCATTCTATTGCGTGGTTGTGATTGCATGCATTACAATAGCTGAAATTTTTTATAGATTCCTTATTTTACCCCAGTCTTTCATTTTGGATTTGGTCAATCTTTTGCACTCTGAAACATCATTTGACTACTTTGATCTATGTATTTGACCCCACAATCGTTGCATAGAATATTTTACAAGATTCTATAACCTAAGAAGCTTTTTACGTTATTTCTTTTGTGAGTTTGTAGGTTAAATACCTCCTTAATCCCAACTTTTTAGGAATCCTGTATATACTTTCTCAAGTATCTCCCTTACACTAAACGATAGTCCACCTTATTCTTTGGAATACAGACAATATGAAGAGGCTAAATGATTTCAGTGATTGGTGTCTTGATAGTATTACTTGTGTGTGATGGAAGTACCCTGCCATCAGTCTTGAGAATAGTCTTAGGGTACTATGTAAGTAATATACATCATTTTGTAGGGCTGTGGATTTTTATGGAATGAAATGGCTTGAACTTGTGTTGGGTATGCCAATCCACAGCATAAATTGGCTCACAGTATAAGCTGGAGAGGAATTGGGTTGTAAGTAAAATCACGAACTGATCAACTAGCTTCTTTAGAAGGTAGCCGTAATGACCTTACTGCTGGTTTTATTACCACATTTCATGCGCATATGAGAAAATAGAATTAGGTTGGAAATGAAACCTTTTAGTCTGCATCATGGAGTAATCTTTTGTGTTAAGTTATTCTCAGATTAGTATAATTGTTTTAATACCATACCGTCGTTGATCGGACCAAATTGATTGGTCTCTATTGGTATATGGGATCCTGTGCGGATGCCTCAATATTGCCGGTGATCTAATGTTATTAATGATGGACGGTGGCTAGCAGTGGAATCCAGGATGCGCATTCGTCCTATTTGGGACCTATCGTGGCCTGGTGGTGTAGTGGATAAAGCTCCGGCGTTTGAGGCGATCACTTCCGAATCCGAATTCCGATGGGAACAACACCACTCACCGGGAAGTAGGTACATCCGGCTGACGAGTCCCAAATAGAACGAAATGCGCATCCTGAATTCCACTGCTAGCCACTGTCTATCATTGTTCTCAGTTTAACCTAAGTGTACAACTAGAATGATATTTAGCTGAATATTTAGAATGGATTATTGATTTAGTTTTATTTATATGCCGATGATCTTGTGTTTCGGTGTATTATGATGAAGCGGATAATATTGTATAGTACCGGAATTGGGTTGATACAATTTCTCCATACTTCTCTTGAAATATATTTTATAAGTGGGTGCTGTTAAAAGTTTTTCAGTATTCCATGAAAATATCTTGGTTGTCAGGATGCATGTGCTGCAATATATTGATCATACAGTTGTTATCTAGTTCATATTCATGGTTGAATGTATCTCAGATTTCATTCTTCAGTGTATTCATATTTATGCCTTATGCTTGATTTTTACACACAATTTGGTAAGCAACCTATCTAACTGTCTAATCCTAACCACTGATTGTTTCCCATCATTTAGCACCAAAATACAGTACGCCACAATATCGTCACTTGGCTTAGTGACCATATTTCAAAGCTTGATAGTTAGACGTGAATCAGTGCTAAGGAATAAATAGCTACATAAGTCATTCACCGATAACCAATTCGTGTGCACAATCCAGTCAGTCCCACAGGAAGTCATTCACAGCATGAATAACCCAATGGTTAGATTTCTGGCTTCAACATGGAGTGACGGAAGTTCGAATGACCACACAGACACCAGTTTTCTCTTAGTTGCAGATGTGCATTGCTAATAAGTGTCGACAGGCAAGATACCTAGTTCGGTTAGGGCTTCCTGTCGAAGGAGTATCAACAACTAACGGCAATATGATATACCTTTCAGCCTTTTCTTAGTTAGAACTATTTTCAACCTTATTTATTTGAGTGTACTTCTAATGTAGGATAACAAATTTTGGATTTTAACATGATTGAGATGCTCATTCTTAAGAAATATTCAAATATGTTTTACATTGTGGGTTAGATTATCTGTGTTGGTTTTCTTTACCTCGTTTTATATTTGGAGACAGTCTATACAACTTGTTTTTGTATAGTGTTTGAAGCAAAGCTTCCCATGGGATAGAACATATTCTTACAAGTGATAATTTGTGACAAATAGTGTACTTGAGTACCTGTGTCTATATAGTTTGTTGTATTTCATACTATATGCTGTGTTCTAAAATAAGCAGTTTCATCGAATATGAACAGCTATTTAGTAGTCTGTGCATGAATTCATAGCAAACTTCTGTTGAAAACAGACCTGAATATATGTGATCATGACTTGACTTACACTATGATGACTGTTATAAAGGTGCCAACTAAATGATATAAATCAGAAATAAGGAATGGAGCGCTGTGAATGTTAAGCTTATCAATTAGGAAAGTAAAAATGCGTTTTCGAATCAAAACATCTTTGAAGTACACCAAGTGTGCTTTACGATTAACATACAATAAGCCTGATACACCTGTAGCATGTATTGATTGGTCACGGGAGTGTAATCAATTTCATGTTGTCTACTCCTGAGTGCAGACCGAATTCTATCGATCATATTTGTACTCAGGACTAGACAACATGAAATTGGCTGCACTTCAGTGACCAGTCAATACATGTAAGCCAGTCTTACAGGAGGTTAGTCGCGGTCCGAGTAGCTCAGTGGTAAAGTTGCTGGCCACAACACTGGATGACGTGGTTTCGAATCTCAGGCGGGACATTAGTTCCATCGAGGTTACAGATACGCCTTGCTGACAAGTGTTGAAAAGCACGAAACCTAGATCCAGGGCTTCCTGTCGATTGCCTCCAACCAACCAACACACCTGTAGCATATTTCAATAAAGTAGACTGTACTGTTAATCTCGATTTTAAGCTTACACTTTTCTGAGATGATGGAAAATATTTGTAGCTCAAGAAGATAATTTTGATGACTGATGATGTTGTCTAGAATGACAAGGAAAGCTTCACGGTTAAACTATCCAGCTTAGAGAACATAACATCATCAAAATTAGGCTTTTTCTGAATGATCAAATCTTTGCTTCACTCTATCATGTATCCTATAGTGAGAATATTCAGTGAAGGAGGTTCAAGATATCAGGTAATTGTGGTCTTAATTTAAACCATTAGAGCTTCAGTGACTTGGTTAAAGATTATTGTACCACTTCAGAAATACCCGGAAAAAAATTTCATCTCGATAAAGAGACAGGTTTTTTTCATTTCGCTTAGTTTGGTCTCTTCATGATAAATTTGATTAAAGCAATCAAAACCTTGTTTTCCCAATAGGTTGACTTGGTTTTACTTCACTATATATTATGTATTATATGTATTATTATATATTATCTTTAAGGATTTAATGTATTCAGATCAGTGTTTATATGTTCAAGCCTTAATGTATGGAATAATGAGAACAAGAATGATGTGTCATTCAGTCAAGACAGAAGTTATTTTATTTTAATAACCAAGGATGACAAACGCTCTAGTGAAAGTAAAAACAAATCTTATTAGAACTGTGATATGATTGTATTACAATGTGAAGACTCTTCAAGTCGATATGATAAGTGGGTTAAGAAGAAGAATTCTGAAATAATCGATAAAAATTGATGAATTTGTTGATGCCAGTAAGAAAAAAGATAATAAACTGATTGATTATTCCATGTTCTGTCCCTAACACAGTTGTCGGCGTGCACTATCAGGATTTATAGTAGTCCTCCAAATGGTATCAGTTCATGATGAATAAAGGTAGTGTCTTCAGATATACATTGTATTGTAGTTAATTTTAATTTCATTGACTTGTAAAAAATATGAAGTATTATTCTTAATATAACTAAAGACAACAAGTTACACTAAGTATAATATTAATTACTAGTGTAATATGTATATTTTTGTTATTCAATAGATTATTCAAAGAAATGTTACACAAAGTATCATATTTATCTGAAGAATTTCGAATTGCAACAGAAAAACGTGTTAATAAAACAGAACGTAAAACATTGGAAATCAATTATACATTAAATGAAAAATTAATAATTTTAAGCAATAAAATGTTATATATTATTGGTAAAAATAAATCATATCAACAGGCTACTCAACAGTTGAAATATGATGTTCATGTATTACAAGATATTAGAAATGAAATGCATAAAAAATGGTTGAATCAATTACAAGTGGGTAAAATTCTCTTTATTCTGTTCAACTAATTCACTTAAAGTATAAGTTTGGCAGACTAGTATTTGTACTGGGCTTTGTATCGGCATACTGGCCCAGTGATCATTGGTTCGAATCCGGCCATGGTCTAGATCTTCATCTCACCTTCAATCATCACCCAGTACAAAAGTTTTTTTTATAGATATAAAAAATAATGATTGAGAATTTTTTCATTTTTTACATAGTGGGCTGCAGTAATTTGGCGCCGCCGTGATATTCGTTTGTCTATTAAGGGTCGCGTGTACTGCACAGCAGTCCGCTCTGTTCTACTGTACGGCTGTGAAACATGGCCATTGAAAGTGGAGGACATCAAAAGGCTTCAGGTGTTTGACCACCGTTGACTTCGTAGTATAGGACGTATTCCGTGGTGTCACCACACCACGTGAGTAATGCAGAAGTTAGGTGTAGAGTTTTAGGGAGAAGAGGTAAGTAAGTTGACGAGGTTGTGAACCTTCATCGACTGAGATGGTTGGGACACGTACTACGTATGCCCAGTCACCGATTGCCTCGTCACACAATGTTGGCTGAAGTGGGTTCAGGTTGGACAAAGGCCCGAGGTGGCCAGACTAAAACATGGCACCGATGTATGAAGTCTCTGACTGTTGGTTTAAGCCATGTAGGACGATGCAGACTAGGTGGTTGGGGTCCACCGGATAAGGGGAACCAGTGGTTGGAGACTGTAGGTGATGGCATTGCTCAGAACCGATATCAGTGGCGCAGATGTATACACACATTATCCTCATCTTAACTACACTATACCGAATCTCACCATTTTGTCACTCCTCTTTCCTTTCTTCTCGTACTTTATATTTCTTTTGACTGCATTCACTTATCTTCATCCTTCACCTCACTACCTTTTTACTTGATGTGCTGATATGAGGTGTGGCAACTCGGACCGTTACGCAGTAATGCCTGGTCCTATGTTGATAATGATGATGATGATGCAGTAATTTATTTGCGAGATATGAGAAAAAAATACTTACTGATTGCATTAGGCAATGTTCACACTATATCACAAATTGTAGAAGCTACCAAAAGCTATAAATCGGATTTCATTTAACTGTCACAGTGGTACCATGTTCAATAAAATACCTGATAGTCCTGGATATGATCCCTCAGAAGGTCGTAGGTGAGCATTCTGACAGTCTCATAGTACTCAGTTCATGAAGGTTTTCAATGATTGCCTAGTTCAGTCGATTTATGACGAAAACTCTTTTGAAATCAATCAAATCGTCAAAAACCTGCCGACTGAATAATATTTGTTTGCACTGAAAGGTATATTTGAATACTATTGTTGTGGGTTAATATAACGATCATTAAAATATCTTCATTTCAGTGAGATTCCGTCGAAAAATTTACACTTTCATAGAAAACTATCATAATGATAGCTGAAATACTTAGTTTTCAGTTTCAAATTTCAACATGTTCGTGGATTGATACCAAAAGTATGAGTATACCTCGATAGAACTAAATCAACTGGTAAATCTTTCTATGGGTTCCTGTGGAAACCAAAATATTCATATCACACAGTGTGATCTAGTCGTCATGAAAGCTGTTAGAAATGATACAACTGACATACATGAGTAATTCTAGCCGTTCACAATGGACCACGGACTGTGTATTTTGCAAACAGCTGATTTGATTTTAAATAAAACCAGTCAGCTCTATAAGGCTAACCGAAATTCTAGTTATTTGAACAGTTCGATTCGCTGATCTGATTCAGTCAATGTCGACCATTGCTTAGATCGGTACCAAAGAAGTAAAACAGCCCCACCAGAGGTATTCTGAACACTTTGTTCCGATTAGCAAGCATTTCTGATCAGAGTCTATAGCATGCAACTGATCCATATCAACCAGTGGTATATTTCGCACAGCTTTCACATTAAACTGACATTTAATTTTTTAAGATAAATTGTGTTTATAGTTTTGCAAATTCTTCGGTTAATTAAATGCCAACATTACTATTACACTTGTCTTTCGAGTTTTTGTGAAGTAGTACGATTATTGTTCATCACAATAGTTGTATACGATCATATATTTAATAATTGTTAAAAATAATCTTTTTTCAAGCATATTTAATGTATACACAAAAACAAAAACAGTATTTTCTAAGCTTAAAATTTTTCGCCTTTACTTGTTGATAGCCTGTTTACTCCTTTTTCAAGTTGTTATTCATCGAAGACTGACATCAATTGGAGAAACAAAGGAAACCTGGGAGCACTGGACAGCTGTTTCGTCCAACTAGTATGAGACTCCTCAGCTCAGTGGCTCAATGGTAACGCGCTGGTCACGGAACCTGGAGGTCGCGGGTTCGGTCCCTGCTGGTGGGGTGGTGGGTGCGCACTGCTGAGGAGTCCCATACTAGTTGGACGAAACAGCTGTCCAGTGCTCCCAGGTTTCCTTTGTTTCTCCAACTGATGTCAGTCTTCGATGAATAACAACTTGAAATATTTCCAAATCTCCACAACCCCTCAAAAAATTTACTTCTTTTTGTTACATTTCATTCAGTCTTTAAAGAATTCAATATCGAACTGCTTAAAAAAGGAGCAAAGATTATGTTCAATCATGGAAATATTTCTAACAAATGAAAATATCCATCCATTGAACCTTGATATATTTTTTTACGAACAAATTAAAAATATGAATATGAAGGAAGTCAAGCTGACTGAAGAAGTAAAAACACTAAGGTGACAGAGATATATGCCTTAGTAGATTCCTTTTTTTATTATACATATTTCTAAAGTTTGAAAGGAAATTTAAGCAATACTTACATTCAAATTAGCTTTTATTGAAGTCATATTTTGAAATTTTTCTATCTACACTACAAGATCATGTTGTTACCTTGGATAGTTAATAAACTTATTATTATTATTAGTCCCTTGGGTTCCTAGTGGAACATAGGGATTCAGTATAACGTCTCCAGTGACCTCTGTTCTCTGAGATTTTTCGAACCTGGTTCCACGACAGCCCACAAACTCTCATTTCCTCCTCGCACGACCTCATCCATGTCACCCTCGACACCGACGTCCAACTCGTCGCTTCCCATGGGGATTCCACTCGAGTAACTGGCCTGACGCGTGATGTCCTCAGTCGGCCTTCTCAGTGCATGTCCAATCCATCTCCACTTCCTCCTGCATATTTGTTGCCTGATAGGTTCTTGCTTCGTTGGTTCGTTCCCAGAGCTCCTTGTTGCTTATTCTCTTTATTCTGGCCATCTGATCTTCAGTAGCGAGCCAGTTTGGGCAGTTGTTGATGAATGTCTGTAGTTTATTGGAATTCCCTTTCGTGACGCGCCAAGTCTCTGAACCATCACGTGGAAGCACTGACTTGACTGAAGTTGGTGTTGAAAATCCGTATCTTGTTCCACATGCTGAGTGGAGTGCAGAAGATCTCCACACTGGTTTCAGGCTAATGAACACCTACCTGTCTTGCTTTTCCGATTCTGACTTTGACGTCTTCTTCCGTCCCGCCTGTAGTTGGAACGATGCTGTCTAGATAGATGGAGGAGGCTATTTCCTTTAAGTTTCTCCCGTTGATGGTGATTGGAGTTTGTTGTTGTAGTTAATAAACTTAGTGGGATATATTCTGACGGCTATTTAAAATTGGAATGAATCAACCCTAGGAGTGATTGGGTTATTATTTGATATACAATCCAGGTAAAAATGATTTTCAGCAATTAGTTGGATAATTGTTATTCATTCATCAAATAAGTAATTTAAGATTTCTAATATTTCAAATCGTTATACACAACCTTTGTTGCCATAGTTTGGTAGATAACAGAAATAAATGGTTTCATTTATTAAGTAATTTTGCCAATGTTTCAGGATATATTTATCTATCCCATTTACACAAAAGAAAAATGTGAAAGGAAGCCATTAATATGGGTAGTATTAACGGTGATAATCACACAGTCATAGGATACTTGTGAATTGAAGCTAATTCCATACTAAGTACTTCACGTTATAATCAGCACCTAAAAGTTACGTAATACAGTCTTTTGTTTTGACAAGGTTTAGACAATGAGAGGCAATTCTAAAAGCCTTGAGCTTTTGTTTAAGTTGTTGTTTTACCACTTTTGCTCTTATAAATTTTTGGAACTCGAACAATGACATTCAGATTAAATACTTATACACGACAATCTCTTGACTCGCTAATGATTCGAACTGATATCATGCACTACTTACATCAAAGAGTCAACTAAATATGCTTTTATATTAGAAGTGGCAGAGGAAATACTGTTATTGTGGATGATGTTGAGGTTTTGTTATGGATAGTTTAATCATGAAACTTTAATTGCTGTTTCAGACAAATTTACCTGAATACACATGAGAAAGAAGTGAACAATCAGAATTTCGCTTGTTCTGATGATCTTTGGTGTGAACATTATTTTCTCTTGTACCATCATTCTCTGCACATATTAGCTGTTTTGTTGACCACAATTCTGACCTTATTGTTACTTTTTGTACTCATTACTGTTTGGTAGATTGGGTCAATTTCAATATGCCGATTGACTAACAGAATAACTTCATTGCCAAGCTTCCAAAAAGTTCTCTGACACTTCTTTGTAAGACTTCTTCAGTCTGCTATTCGAATTCATGCCCAAATTACCCATAAGCATCGGTATCAGAGAAGATATGCAGTTTCAGTTTATTCCGCAGGTAATATAAGACATAATTTCTCTTAGCTTGTATAACATGAAGTGGAGAGACTTTTATGTCTACACTGATTGATCACCAATTTCATGTTGTCTAGTTTTGAGTACTGGCTGAAATTCATCCATCATTTTACAATGTAGTCACCAAAGCTTGAAGGCTCACTAACTAGATACACTTTTATGGATATTCGTTGGTTATGGGCATTTTTAATGAGCATAAGTAATTGAAGAGTAGGGTAAAAGGAATGACTTGGCATGAAAGGTTTAGAGATTGGAGATATTGCTAAACACCTCCTATTCAGAATACACTATCATCCTACTCTCGAAAACTCACTAATGCCATATATAAGTCTATCCTTGTGTATAGCGTATTAGGAAACAAATTTGTGCATAACAGATGTAAAAAGCTTCATCTGTTAAGTAATTTCATCGGTGTTAAACAAATATAACAAGGTATCTAAGCCATAAAACGTTTAGAGAACTAAAACTATATTGACACTTCGGATATAGTCTTTACACAATTTATTTACATCCTGTCATAGCAAATATTTCACTTTTTTTAAGTTCATTTTTTACATATGTTTAAATTATCTAGGTAAACACTTTAAATGATTCAATACTTCATGGAATGAATGTATACTTCTCTGGTTTTCTTCATAGGTCTAAGCATGATCATACCCTATCCAGATATGAAGAATATAAGCATTTAAGAAATGAAGAATTACATCGTTTGAAGCAGTTAATTCAAGCTAGAAATCATTTATGCCAGCTAGTTATTGATTGTAAAACTGCTCTACAACAGGCTTGTGAAGTAAGTATGTTTCACTTAAACTGGACAATTTTTCAAATTGTCTCGCTTATCTTTAGACTTGTGCCATCTGCAACTAACCATATATATGATAAAACTACAGGATTCCACCGTCCTTGAATGACTCGAAAATGACCTTGAACGCACCAATAGGAGGGGCAGAAGCTTCGCTTCAATCTTACACTATGGAAATAAAAGTAAATGACAGTAGATGTAGCTTTTTTAACAAGATTTAGGAACTCATCTACGTTTTTAACTGCTTCTTACAGTTCTAATTAAGAGTACATAGGATGAAACATCCATCCATATGACTCAATAACATTATTCCACTTGAACTATGCTGTTAAAGTAAATCAGCCTTCAAGCGGTGCCGTATTACTTCTTGATTATTTGTATGAAACCTAATAGAAGGATTTATGAATTGGACTTTAACAATCAAAACTGAACATCAGGTCCAAGAAATTGGATAATAAGTGAAAATCTAAAGATTTAAAAGTATAAAATTTGATAAATAAGTTATAAAACAGCAAAATACAGTGATTACGTTTTTTTTTCCAGTATCGGTGTTAATACCAATGCGTGCTCCAATGTGAAGTATCACTTCATAATTTTATCTTATTTGAGAAATACAGACACATGAAAAAAACCTATCAGATTTAGTAAGTAGTCTGAAACGATCATGTAAGAAATAAATTCCCTTCTATTTAATCCTAGTTTTCATTATCAAAAGTTTTCCTTGAGCAATCCACAATAAACACCACCTTTTTGGTAATTAGAAGTTTCCCAGAACAATCACACAGTCAGCTACAGCGTGATTGGTTACTTCATGGTCATTTTAAAGCCAGTCAAGGACGGAAAAAATTATCTAATTTCACTCCAAATTTTGTATGGAATGTTGACAATGAAAGATGAAAAAATATGGGTTATAGTGTGATACAAACTTTAAATTTCCGGTTGAAATCCTGCCATAAACTCAATTTTTGTTTGAGTTTCATTCATTACCTCACTGGATGAGAATAAATTTCCATTTCAAGACTATGTAGGATCATCTTATTAATATGTTATTCACGCCTTTACTTCTGCTTTTTTTTGCATAGATGTGCGAACCAGAAAGTGCTGTAAAACTGAATTTAACTGAACGTATTCAGCGACATGATCATCTATTAACCGCTTTCTTCATTCTGATCTATACATGTGATCAATTGATTTCACGTATCACTCCATATCAGATTGGTGATTTCCGACTGAATCGAATAACTACCAATGTACCATCAGCATCAACAAAACAGTCATTTGGCAGAAATAGAGTTATGTTCAGTGATTCAGTATATCCAATATCAACCTCATCGTTGGCTAAAAGTGACAGTCGAACAAGAAATGCTCTGTCAGGAAAAAGTAACTCAGAAGACTCCTCATATTTGGAGTTCGCAGAAAAAGATCAGTAAGTATTCATTAGAAAGCAAAGAGGAATACATTAATTTGAATGAAACAAGGAATTATACGCTTGCTATTCAAATTTATACTGACACAAGAAGTTTATTTTATATTGGTCTGTAGTAAATACTGAAAGTAAAGTGAAAATCTAGGTCGCATCAGGATTCGACCCAGCTACCTCTGAGTTACAGTCTGGATGCTCTAACAGCTGAGTTTTGAAACCCAGCTGTTAACTAGATGCCAGTTTCACTTTAAATCTTCAAGGCATATGCCATGTTATCATGCAAATCTGTGGTGCGTTCCTACCAAGACTTAAATTTCCATTTTACCTTCACTTATCGCATACGTGTTAATTATACTTGTCATAGGTGAATCTTCCACATAATTCGTCAGGTTGTAATGAGTAATAAGTTAAACATGTATACTCTGATGCTACTTAATCTTTTAGCTAGTAGTATGAAATTTTTACCCTCAATCATGAAGATTTTTTGCATTTGAGATATATATTGCGGTCAGTATTTATTCAGATGTTTGTATCCTGAGTGATGAATAAGACTGGTTATATTAGAAATGCAATTGGGATTCCGGAAGTAAGTAGATGACCACTTTTCCATTAGATGGGGAAAATTGTCGATCTCTCTTAGACGATATTTTAAGTCAATATTGTAATATTGCTTGATGGAGTAATTTTTAATTGAGAATCGATGTCACATTCTCCGAATAAGTCAAGATTACTGTAGAGCCATTTCTCCAAAGTTCACTAGTTAGACACGACACACAATTCGTTATGGTTGTTGGAAAATATCATCTAGATTTTACTTTACATAAATCAAGTGACTTTAAAGGCCGATCTAGGAACTGCTGAAATAACCAAACAGGTTTCAGTGTTTTATTTTTGATGCCTTGGGTCCCTGATGGTCCCTGGAGGTATGGTTGAAAATCGGTTACAGTGGAGCAGATACATTCATTACTTGACATGTTAAGCTTGAATATTTGAACTACCCTTCATCTTTAAATTATTTGTTCTCTCACAATTCTTTGTCTACTTTGATATCAGTCTTTTTCTATCCACCTGTTCTTCATACATAATTGTGAAGTGTAGTGAATTGAAACGATGAATTTGTATGCAAGGTTCTACATTGATTTTACCTATCTGTCTGTTTGTCTTTGACATAAAATCGAGAAAAGTAATTGGTTGTCTCATCAGTTGTTAGGATGACCTTTGAAGTTAATAATAATAATAATAACAATAATAATAATAATAATAATTCACTTTATTCCAAACAATTTGTGGTACAATTTGGAATTCTCAGCGTAATATATATTGCAATAACAACAAAATATAAGTATATACATACTCCTTTGCAGCCTTTCGAATTGTTTTATTATAAAAATTTAAGGTATGTGAGGAATATTAAAAACGAGAAAATTTTGCATTGTAAGTTAAATTATTGAAATAAGATTATTAACTGTCACAAAGTTGATGTGTGATTTCTGTTCTAACACTTTTTTCCTCACAAATTATACGTGCAAGGTAAGGTACAGTCGAATTCTTATACTTAGCTGTACGGGCATACAGTTTCTCCTTGTCCTCCTTGAGGAGATACATGGAGACAGCTGTAAATGAAGTGGATACTCACTGTCAGTTAAAATTTCTGTATCTAGTAGCTTGCAGGAATTTATATGTCGATCAACTACAGTGTTAATCAATTGAGCCAGAGACATACCACTCACCCTGCTGATGGTCTTCAAAGCCCTACGCAACATAGCATAGTCCTTTTTTAGAAGACTAGGAAAGAATAATGGGGAACAATATAGAAGAATAGGTAAAATGCAGGAATTAATAAACTGTAAAAGAAGCAGTTGAGTTATACCAGAAAGCCTCAATTTCTTTAAGTAATAAGTTAAACGAAAGATTTTTTTACAAGTCAATAAAATATGGGACAACCAACAAAGGTCAGAAGTAAAACGCAACCCAAGATAGTTCACACTCATTTTGCTTTCTGCAGAAATACCATCAAAGCAGCAGGCGTCATGAGATTTAAGTGGCTCACATAAGTGTGGTTTACACCTGAGGCTAAAATTAATAGTGTGACATTAAGAAGGGTTTAGTTTGAGACCATTTGAGAGAGACTATTTGCCAACTTCAGACAAGAATTTATTTAATTTCAAGCAATCCAAAGAAGAGTTTACTGGAATAGAAATCGTCAGGTCGTCAGCATACTTGATAAAATTAGTTTCAACAGAATAAGGCAAATCGTGCAAAAAAAGGAAAACAGAAAAGGAGAGAGTACAGCACCTTGAAGCACACCAGCTTCAGTAAGCAATGAAGTGGATCGCATCCCTTTATGAATAGTGTACTGTTTCCTCTCAGAAGAATAGTAGATGCAGCCATTTTGTAACCCATGGCTCAATGTGAGCTATAGCAAGCTTATTTGACAAAAGTGGTCTAGGAGCAGAGTCAAAGTCTGATGAGTAAACCAAAAAGGCACAACGAACATATTTAACACCTTTGTCGAAACAATGTAATGATGCAGGACAGTAGCTGCATCTAATCTAGCCACACAAATCTCTATTACCCTTTAAGTAGTTTTGTTACCACTCTGTCATTGAAACATATCTTTAGTAGGTTGAAGTTAAATCAATATTACCATTAAAGAATATTTTGGTGAGTTGCACGCCTCATATGATACATATCTCACGGCAGTATCGATTTAAATTGTGATTATATTATAGATTGTAATTGATTGTCTTTCTGATTAAAAATAACCCTAATCTTATTCAACTTTAAGTAGGTACATACAGTTAATTGGTGAAATGATGTTTGCTTATAGTCAAAAGAGATTTTTCATTCTTATATATACGTTGATTTTATAAAAATTCGCTTAGTAACGTTTACTAAGAGGACTTTTCAATTTGGTTAGTATGATTATGATATGGTATAGACTAAGGAAACATTTCAAGCTACAAAGTAGCAAACAACTGTTTCTTCCAATACTGAAGCACTTCAGAAATAGACCTACTTAAAACATGAAACAAAAAAAATCACAATACATCATTACCTGACGTTTTACAGGTTTTTCATGTAATGTTAATGCATGAGGTAAACTATTTTTAGTAACTTTATTACCTATGATTTATTGGAAGTTGATAAGATCCTTGTAGATTATATCAGCACGTCTTACTTTTGTAATTGAATTGTCTTCTTATCTTAATGTATTTTACTGTGAGTTTGAAACTTTTAGGTATATTGAGCAGACATATTTATTTCAAAGTAGTTTTCAGTAGTTTTTCAATTGATGTTATTCTTTGATAGAAACAAAAATCAAGTCAATAAATCCTAACAACCCTTACTCCCCAGTTTACTGATTATTCAGTGCTTGGTGACGAAAAAGTCACAATCACTTGGGTCAACCAAGTTGAGAGTGAGACTAATATCCATCAATTATACTAGATGATTATCACATTGCATCAGAAATGAAAAAAAGTGGAAGTCAGTAGACTATTAGATTCCAACCTAGTAGCTGAGTGGCAACTTTCTATCGGTTCAGATTTTCAAACAACTTGAAAAATCTCCTTCATTTTCTCGTGATGAAAATCATAGCAACTCTGTTCATGAACAAATATGTAGCCAATATATTTACCCACAAAATCGTTAACCATTTTTTTTACCATAGGAAGCTAGGCTTTAATAATGTTCTTGATATTCTGATAAGATTTCAATGTTAGAAGTTAAGGGTCAATTGATAGTATGTAGCGAATTTAGATTTCATGATTTTTCACCCTCGTCATCAATGTAAACCCCCAGCAATGAGAAAACTAATATTCCTTTGTTCACTCGAATCTGCATCAAAGACTTTCTCATCAAGCTATTCAAGTTACAACTGACCCCCATCTAGAACTGAATTATGCAAATGAATTGGTCATCATTGGGCAAAAAATTGAGCTGTTTAGTCTGTAGTATTTACCACTCTTCGAAGTCTATCAATCAGGTTTTAAACCGTAGCCACTGAACTAAGTTATACTACACTGCTGTTTAGTGTTAATGTGGTCGAGTGTAATAAGACACTGATACAATAATGATACTGACACTTAAACTGAACATGCTAACAACTGTTATCATTAAATACCAGAAGATAGAGACTCGCTTGTGACTGCAAGGACAGCTTTATTCACCAAAAATGCCTCATTTGTATACAATTTTCGAAAACAAGAATACACCAAGTCGAAGACTGAATAGCTTATCATTGGCTCCCTGAAGTTCACAAGTGTTCAATAAGATTCATCCTAATCGCAAAGCAGCATAGTTTAAAATTTGGAGGCCAAAATTTTCTATCGACTCTTTCAATGATTTAGAATGGTGGTTTTCATTTCAACCGCTTCCCATCAGTTTTAGGTGTTAGCAGGTGATCGTTAGGAAGGCCTGAATCTAGGTTTCATGCTTAATGGCAATCACCAACAAAAGAAATATACAACCATTAGGAAACTAAAGTTCCATCGATTGCCTGAACCTGCATCACATCTTAACCAACCATCAAGTTAAACTTTCACTTAGAATGTTCGTAGACATTTGGTTAGGAAGCAACGAATCTACGTTTTACACTTTTCATAGGTATACTTGTTAGAAAGATGAGCTTATCAAGGGGGATTTTAAATTGACAGAGCTGTAAAAAATGAGATAAAACTCACACCATTGTGTCTTCCTAGGGAAATATTCAGTAAAAGGCGAAAGACCTGCCCACAAATGGAGGGATAACAGGGATAAGGGAATCTGTATGGTTGCGCCACGGGATGAAATTGTATGCCATCCTTATTTTGAAATGTTTGAAGATGTGTTCGTTTCCTTAGAAAAGCCGATGTATAATTATCCGCTTAGATGATGAGTAATTCATTCTGTGGTTTCATCTAGTCTTGTGATCTTCAGAAACAGTTTATAAACCACATTATAAAAATTACCTTTTTGTTGCTGTTGTTAGTGAAAACAATCAGATTTTTCTTATTATTTGATGACGCGGCGGACTACACCCGAATCTACTGACGGATGGATAAATTTACATGCTACATGCATACTGATGGCTTACTTACAAGTATATACACATATATACTTGCATATGCACACATGCATGCACTTGTACATAAGGTATATATATATATATATATATATATATATATATATATATATATATATATATATATATATATCATATTTACCATCAATATACGTATAACAACAAATGATCAGATATTGTCTAGTCATATGCACTTACGCGTACTGATAGGCACCAAGTATACCATACGCGGACACAGAACAACACAAGAGTCCACATACATAAACATATGCATACTCATCTGGCGTTCAATAACAGAATCGGAGTACTATATCGTTGACAGCTGATCACCAAAGTGACCGTAGTTTTCCACATTTTTATAAAAGTAACGCATAACTTTAGGCTTGTTTCTAGCACCCTTTTCTGCCTCTCATGTATCATTCATTTTTTTCACCAATAGTAATTCAGTTCTCATACTGATCGATGATTGAAGGTCGAATGAAAATTTGGATCCTGACCCATTTTACCTTCATTCATCACCCAGTATAAATACTAGTCTGCTAAACTACAGCTATCTCAGATAGTCAAAATGATAATTAGGTTTTCGTAATATCTTACCTTCAACTTTGACTATGCTGCCTGCCTCAAAGATACTCTGACTGCGTATACCCAAATGCAATCTGTTTTTCTCTTGTATTTTTGCGACTGAAGTAAATTAATTTATCATGAGAGTTTTTCTTCTGTTTGGTTTCATCTGGACGGAGTTGATATCGAGTAAAGTTTCCACTGGTATCATTCATAGCACATTGACAAGTAATTTTGAATTGTATAGCGTCTTTTAATTCAAGGACTATGTTGGACAGATTAGGGACTCATAAATTTCTTATTTAACCCAATTTTCAAATTCTGTCATGTAGATTTTCTTTCATCCCCATAAAATGAAATCATCTTATCACATTCTCTTAACCCATTTTCTTCCCTAATATGAGTAACGTTCTATCAAGCTACTACTCCTGAAGTGATTTCCTAAACTGTATAAAAAGCAACAATCTGAACGAAGAATATACTTTTCAATAAATCACAAAATGCATTTGTACAACGTGAAATCAAGCCAAATTAAGGGGAAAAAAACTTTCGAAATATAGTGAGATTTAAGGACTGTTAGGAAGTTGACTTTTATTTTTTAAGTTCGTTATTATTGCTATGACACGTATACAAATGAATGATGTGATAGTGAACGAAAAGTTAACAAATGCAGAAGACGGAAGTGATCTTTAGTTCACTGAAGGCCAAGGGAGAAGTGATGCATGGATATATTCTTTCTAAATGCAAACTGATAAGCGAAATCTTCATATTGTTGATGCAAAATTCCTCAGTGTGTTCGTACAACAGTAAGGTGTGAAAAAGTTATCGAAAAAAATATTCTTTGTTTACTCAGATGGTTCTAAAATTCATTTTTCTCAACTAAAAATCGATGTTGTTTTCATTCTATTATCTTCGGTTTCCCTTTAGTTTTCCACATTCAGAATTTCCCTTAGCATCAGAATTCGGTTTGGAACCAATGGATCCGAAGAAGCCTAGCACAGTTACCAACATCTTACTCAAAGAACTATCAAAATGCTCACGTCAATCAGAAAGACGAACTACTACACCAATAGTTCATTCAGTTGCTGTTCAGACTGAACCATTATACGGTAATACACTAAAGTCAAAGAAATTTAAAGAAAAAATTCCCTCCGAATTAGTTCATCTTCGAAATAATCGTGGAGTTTTACAACTTCCATTTATCAATTCAACAGTTATAGCACCTAAAGAAAGTTATGATGAATTGTATACGTTTAATATTCGACCAACTTACAAACAGAAATCACCAACATTGCCAAGTTTATATCAGTTAGCTAAATTCTAAATCATCATTATATATTGTAATTATGACAGTGATCATGATAAGTTGTACAATGTGAAATGCATAATTTATGAATGAAAATGATTTAATTAAAGTTGAATTATGAACAGTTATTTGATGCACAAATTGAACACCATATAGATAGATAACTAGTATATATCTTTAGTTTAAGTAGAAATATATTTGAACAACTAGTGTGATTTCACCAAAAGTGTTGAGTTGCACAATGCAGCCCCACTATAGACTTCAGTCACACAAATTGATTATTAGCTACATTTTTAAATAGTTATCTTCTATCTGACACCTAGGCCTCATATTTCTTATTAGATGACGTTATTGGTTTCAGTAGTGAGAAATAGTATTTCAGAGGTGAAATCTTCCCTGTAAAGCTTTAAAGTTGATGGTTCTCTGTTTAGCTTATATTAGTCATTCTATATATAATATTTGTTGATAGAGTGAACACTGATCTCATTATTTTAGACTTTTTAATTGTCCCGGTACAGACTAATCTCTTGCCTCCCTGCTGGTTTGATATTTTCGTTTTACCATCAATAAAACCTCTCACTGTATACTTCGGGTTAACTTCTTTTTTCACACTGTCTGACTTAGGTGGAATAATAAGGAATGTGACCGTATTTTGGGAGTTTTTATGCAAAGAGTGGAGTCAGATATGGATTCAGTAAACTAACAAGGCTGTGGTTTTCATAACTTGTAAATAATTCTCTTTTAGCCCTATAAAAACAATCAGCTCTATGCAGAAATAATTTACTGGTTGAATTATTATCATCCTTTATTTAAGTACTTCTACAGAAAGTAACTCTGATTTGAAAAGAATAACAATAAACCAGAGAAATAAATACCAACTATTATAATTGATTTGGTTGTGGCTTGCAGTCGAGTACAGGATTCACGTTTCATTCAATTTAAGACTCGTCGGTTGGATATGCTTGTACCTTGGTGAGTGATGTTGTCCCTTGCGGGACTCGAACCTCTTACTCATCACACCAAATGCCAAAGCGTCTCAGTGGGAACAACATCACTCACTGGAGTGTATATACGTCCAGTTGACAAGTTTGTAATTGGATGGAATGCGCGTTCACTATTCCGCTGCTAGCCAAAACCGTGTGAATTGTAACAATAAATAATCAGGTAATATCGAGACATCAACAAAAGAGCTTATATACCAGCAGACGTTGATCAATTCGATCCAGTATAACAACGAAGAACAATAAGCATCAACAAATCACAATAAATGCTAACTGTTAAAAATACGTTTTCATACACTGGCTCTTTTACTAAATAGATTGATTTCTGACAGAAAATTGGTTAGCTTTGGCTTTTTTTTAATCTGTCAGTCAAATTAACTCCGAATTGCCATTTTTCCTATCTTATTCGATAGACTTGTATTGACACCATTCAATTATCACTCAGTATGCAAGCAATTCAGAATTAACTGAAAAAATGCAATTTTAGTTAGGATACAGAATATTTTTGAAATTATTCAAAATATTGTTTTAATCATTTCGTAGTTCAATGTACAATCTTAAGCATAGTAAGAATGAATTAAGCGGAGCTTTTGGTTAATAATCTAAAAAGTTGTTATTGCATACAATTTCATTGATAATTTCCTCAAGTTGTATGAATGAAATGTATGCCTTAAGGTTGAATTTCGCTCAGCAGGTGAAATATATACACAGAGAACTACACTGTTGTCACTTCTGTTGGTGCATTGGTTTATGCTGTGGTGGTGAGAACTAATTCATCTCTGCACTATATAATATACACTCCACCAGTTTATAAGTTATTAAATATACTTGCAGGAAATGTATTTCATCCTCATTCAAAACTTTCCTTTATATGTTGGTTGTCATGTTGATAGGATTTACACTGTAAGTTCTTCAACAGACTATGACATAAACTTGACTTACTCAACTGACTGACTATTAGCTGTTGGCATAAAATTGATCATTTATGAAGAAATTTATGAAGTATTTAGCAGTTTGAAACTAATGAAATAACTATTCTTATCGCTGCGCATATTTTCACCTAGAATATGGATATATATATATATATATATATATATATATATATATATATATTCATAGTTCGGAGGGAAAAGAATTAATAGTTCCATATTAGATTTGTTTATTTGATATAAAGCGCACAGTGGTACAGTATTATTTAATTGATTTTATTTTATTAAGAAATTCACACGGACACATAAGAAGGAAAATAATAACACTAATACAAATACAAATAATAGTGACAACATAAGTAGAAAGGAAATCAACACCTCTATTGTGATACCATACAAGGAAGGAACATCAGAAACCATACGTAGGATTCTCAGCAAAGTTGGAATTAGGGTGGCATTTAAACCAACAAACTCACTTAGAGGTAAGCTTTGTCGGCTAAAAGATCCGATAGAATCAATTAGGCAAAATAATATAATCTACCAAATTCCATGTAATGACTATGAAGTCAAATACATGGGTCAAACTAGCCGGTAGGGGTCAGTTAGATTAACAGAACATAGGAATTTAGCTAAACATAGAAAAACAGACCCCAATAAGATCAATAATCTAGAAAAACACTCGGCCATTGCATTACATTCATTAACACACAACCACACAATAGGGTGGGACAAAACCACTGTACTTAAGTCTAATATAGCTAGGTGGAGAGAGAGAGAGAGATTAATTACTGAATCTTTGTTCATCGAATCCAAACCCAACACATGTAACAGGAATGACGCAACACCTATACCAGAGATATGGAAAACTTTACTACCAATCAAAAAACAAAGAGAGATCAGGTGACAGGACTATAAAATCAGATGTCGAAAGAAGTGTGATTACATTGATATGATTATGAGCAGTAATAACTTATGCTCGAAACGTAATCAATTAAATAATACTGTATCACTGTGCGCTATATATCAAATAAACAAATCTAATATGGAATTACATTCTACCACAGTGCCCAAGTTTTTCACTTATATTAAAAGAATTAATAAACTGTACATTTATACGCATTGATTAAGTGATAAGTATAGAACGTTCGAGAATAATTTGTGGTCAACAGTCAAAGTTCACTGTATAATAATAAATAATAACCATGACAAATGGTTGTGTTTACTGATTTTGATTGATTGACCATTCTTAAACTGTATCCTTTTGGATAGCTTGATCACACTATATGCTAAATTCTGAATAAGTCAAGTATAGTAAGTTGACTAGATGTTTCGCTGCAGAGCTGAATCAGTATTCTGGCTCTACTTTAGTGAACCAGCTTGAATAATGTTCAGAGGAGAATTTCTGATACAACCAAAATACTCAGTTCAGCAAGAACAAATTAATGCATATATGTACACCGATATGATCCAGTGCTCCAGCTTGTCGTCCGCATACTGATGAATGAGTGTCTGGCAGGAGAGTATGATTCTGACATTAGCACTGAAAGAGCTACTACTCACTCAATCTAACAGACTATTTTTTTTTGGAACTTCTGCATCATTGTCACCCTTAAATTTAAGGTTCGACAGCAAAACACTTTATAAAAAAATGGAGTATGTGTTGTGATGTATTTTGGCTTTATTTCTTGTGAATAAGTTTCATCAGGAATCCATTATTTATGGGAATTAGTGCTTCATCATTCGATGAAATCTTTTCTAGTCCAAAAGATCAAACTCTGGAAATTAATAAACTTTCTAGTACAGACAGACTTTCTATAATTATATCTTTACATTGAATTATCATTCCGTTCATAGTTTTAGACATAAAAAAAATGAAATTTTGAATATTAAGCTGCTTCTCTAGTGAAACAGAGAAAGTGATAATCAAGTTTTCAAGTTTCTTATTATTATAAAAGTGATAAAATTACAGTCTATGTATCTTTTACAGATATAAAGCCCGTATATTATTATTTCACCAAGTAGTGTTTTCTCTGCTTGCCATAAAGTTATTCAGCTGAATAAGATTCTCAATACTAGGCCTTTTGTTTACCTGTAGATTTTATTGTACAGTCTGCAATATACAATAAAAGTAGATCTAACATGAATTCCTTTGATGTTTTGTTGATTTGTTGTATGATCTAACTACACAATCTTATAATGTAAAGTCCGTCTGTTTGGACTGCTACTCCTGTTATTATTTTTACTCGACAAACGTCCAGTGAATTATGTACATAATTGTGACAATTTCCTTTCAGTATTCATTATTCTTCCTTGAATTTGGCGTTTTGACTCATCTATACTCTGTAACCATGTCTGTCAGTCCTAAGCACTTTCAGTGAATAAACGTATGTTAAATTTTCAATAAAACGATTTATTTTTGAGATTCTAGGTTGTAAACCAATTGACAGGATACCACTGAAATAAAATGGATCCGTTTTATCCTGTTCCCAATGTTTTTCTTGCTCCTTTCAAATTAAGGAAAAGGAATTCATGATTTAATTTTAGATTTATAAGTAGAAAAGAGAATTCAAAGGAAACATTCCTTTTGTTGACATATAGACATCATTAACTAGACTAACAATGGTGGAGTGTCTTACACAGACGATGACTAAAAATGTTCCTAACCGTTGGTTAATTCATGTCGATGAGAAAATTTGTGAATCAATCAGATCTAGTATTAAACGAAGTGGGAAACCTAATTTGTGTCTTTTGTGGAGATGGTATGACCAATGGATTGAAAAACCCTATAGTTGAAGCTTTTATCGATGAAAGCAATGATGCAGTTGTTAGGTCTGAAAGAACTACGAAGATGACAATGGAACTCAATCAACAATAATCTCGAACCAAGAGAATAACAGCCACCTATCATTCATGTACTGTTTGTCTAGAATTCATAACAATTGGATTCTTTTTTGAGACCTATGATATCACCTGACAATCTATTATTTTACAAAGTGGACCGCTGGGCAGTATTAAAGTTAGGACCTGCCTCACGAAAGTTAGAAGCTTATAGTTTGAAAGGCTGGTTTTGATTTTACTATGACTTCGACAATGTCAACATGATGTTCATTGACTTTTTATAAACACTGCTGTATACAATCAAATCGTAGACCGAACTTTTTAATTACTTTGTTTCTAAAATTGAACTAAAATGAGTGACCGTTTTCTGTAGAAGCGG